AAAAGTTGACCATAGAGCAAGGAACACTTAGAATTTTGTAGCAGCATCTGTTGCATAATGGAATTCAGTTTCCAAGAGGAGCAATAAGCCGGGTCGGAGATTTGGGTGCGCAAGGAATTGTGGGATAGAAATTGGATAAACCATTAAACCTACATGGTGTAGCCATCGGTACGGTATAGTGTAGACCTTGCGTTGCTGGCTGTGCTTGGAAATTAACATTATTTATTACCCGTATTGCTTTTTTCTGAAGTTTTAAGATTTGATTTAGATGGCTGATACTACTGTTGCCCCAGACAAGGATACAATATGAGATATATGGTAAAATGAGAGCGTTATGCAATGCCATTAACATTTTTTGAGGGGGAAAAGTACTTTTAACTTTGTAATAATACCTATATGTCTAAATATAATTGAGGAAATATGACTAATGCATTTATTCCATGTTAACCCTAACAGTCCTCAGTCCTCCAACAGGTGAAGGATTGAGGAGTGTTAGGGTTAAGCCATCATCTATGTATAGTTAGCACATGCGCGACTGAAATACCGAATTGGCTTATAGAAGGACCCAAATTTGAGGCACATACACACTTTGGTGCGCTAACCTTAATACAGTGTGGACTGTCCACAATGCAGAAGAGGAACGTATTCTGTGGACTTACCCACATCTACAACATCTTTCTCCTTCTCTGAAAAAGAAGTTTAGAGGCATTTTGGGGTTACAGTTATCCGTCATAAAAGGAAGAGAAACTGTGAAGGAAACATTTTACAAAAATGCAGTTGAAAAAAATCATGTTCCCAGTTCCAGAAAAATGAGTATTTCCACCAAGTTTTCTTAACTGCATGAAAACAAAGGAATGTCGACATTAGGTATGTAATGTCAATGTTTGTGTTTGGATGGTTGGGGGGAGAGGAACTGAAGCCCACTCCTGACCAATAATGTTTTCATTGCAGTTCAGCCTATATGTAAAGTACCCCCCTGTATGGAGACGTGTAAAAGGGAGAAAGGAATATACATATTGGATGGATATTGTTTTTCCATAGCTGTATAGTTTTCCAAATATGTTGTAATATTTTATTTGCATGTATGATGTTTCTTGTTTGTTGGAGAAATTTTGAGAGTCAATGCACCATGGAACAGTCGCAAACAAAAGGACTCAAGAATGGTCTGCCTGAGATGAATGAAAGAGAGTTTTTTCAAGAGATGTGTAACCTCATCGTCAAGGAAGCCATTGATAAAACAACATCTGGAAAATGCAAGGGTAGGTCAGCCCTTTCTTGAGATATTTTTGCTTTTTAATGTTTTCACGATCAAGTTGTTGGCCTTTTTGTTGTGCAATAATAGAGTGCTTGCCAGGCTCCAACCTTTCACTGGACCGGCGTACCGCATCCAGTAAAACCTGCTGCGGGCCACTAAAATGCATTCTTTGACGTGCCTGGTGGGCTAGTAACAAAACACCTACCCGTTTAAAACTGCCTTTTGTCTTATTTTTAAAGATGAATAAAGCAAAGGTGTTGTTTCTTCTTTGAAGTTTTAAAATTGACAGCTTGACTCCACAGTAACAGTTACACAAATGAAGTTGAAAAAACAGTCAAAATTAATATTAAAGTGTTTGCGGTAGCACCGTGCAAGGGTATCTCTTTTGTGAGTATGTGCGGTTCCGAAAATAAACATTTCCAACAGTATGCTCTGAAGAGGAACATGGGAAGCAAGATGCAGATGATGAGTGAGGTGTGTCAGTCTGACCGTGTCCTTGGTAGGATCCTGAGTTAGCATCCTCTTCACACCTCACCCCCCTTCAGACACCATAAGCTGCTCCATTATTGGAATCCCAGCAGTCTACTGATGACGGTCAGAGCGTACTGTCCGAAATGTTCTTTTCAGTACCACACATACTTACCATAGAGTATCCTTGCATGGGTGCTTCCGCAGACCTGACCTTTATATGCCACCTTCACCATGAAAGATCACCAGGCAAAGTTAGTTTTGCTAAAAACTAGTGAAAATTCCTGCAGGTTTGTGAAAAAAATCTGTGAAGTTGCCCAGCGGGGTAGTTAAAAAAAACAGAGCTGTTTTTGTGATGTGAAGTCAGCAAAAGGGAATGAAAAAAAGCAACTACAATACTCATATACATGACACGGGAAGAACATGACATCGTTTTGAACTAGGAAATGTACACATGCACATGTAGGGCAAACGAACGGAATATGTACCAGTGTTGGTTCATAGGCTGGTTCTCACACCACTGCCTTTTTACACACTCTTCAACTACATGTAGGTGTACACTACTAGACAGATGTTGACCAGTGAACGGCCTTGGTCTTGTTTGACCAACAGCACTGATTTGTTGGCATCCCCCCAAAAGCACTGCAGTCAGTCTGCAGCTGGCAGCTTAAAAATGCAAATCTAGCTGTTTTTGTTCCAATCTAATCACTGAAGGAATTATCAGTTGTCTCCGTCTCAGAAACGAATCCAATGAGTACAGTAAAACTCATTAACTGACTGATCGGAATTTTATTATGAATGTAAGTACCATGGTTACTGTAACTTAAACCATAGTTTGAAATACAAAAATAGATGGAAGCGGTAGTTAAAATCTCGTTAAATTGTATGTACTTCCAGATTGTGATTTAAATGCAAATGTCTAGTGAGTTGTAAATAACATGTTTCCTTTCTAAAAAAAAGTGTCTCAGCGGGTGTTAAAAGCTGAATAGTAATAAGGATTTTATGAGCTACATGTACATGTACTTCAGGCCAGGATTAGTTTGCTGTGAATCACCCAAATGACAAGGATATTTTTGGCTGAAAAAAAGCTAATTTACTTTTAAAGACAAGATACAAAATGTGTAATTTCAAAATTCAGCCAAACGTGACAAATTTATGTGTACTCTTCAGAGCTATTTATGAGATATTTTTGCAGTACTTTTTACTCCAATTTTTTGTCTTTTTGTAACACTTCAAGATCTGGTTCTGGATTGTATTTGCTACAACAAAACTGTGTAAATGTGCAAAACAAATTCAACTCGGCAAAGTTGCCATGAACTATACACAATATACATGTGTACATTAAGGTCTAGTAAAAATTGAACAGGCTAAAGTGATGTTCTTACATCGTCCTGCCATCCTCAAACAGATGTTTGCCCTAACTAAAAATAGATTGGAATTTCGCTTGTAAAGTGCTGAGTTATGCTGACTCATCACATTTTTAGATAATTTGTTTTTCAGCTTTAGTTTCTTTTCCTGCAAAGCTTTCTCCCTTTTTTTCTTTTGTTTAGGGTGAAGGTGACAGTGTTCTCAACCAATTGTAATAAATTTGCTATTTGAAAAACTTGACTGGCTAAATTGTTCAATGCTTTTATTTTTGAACTATCACAGTCATAGCAAAGTCTCAAAAAGTGTGGTTATTCCCTTAAAAAAATTGCTGGCAAAATGAAAATGCCTTTTGATATTGTTCTGAAGCATACAACTGCTCAAAAAGTTCTGAGTGAAATCTCTGTCACTATTCATGCATAGTGACCTGGTCAGCCAGCATATTAACTACACATCATGCATTTTTTGACTTATTCAATCCTGCAGGTAACTACATGTACATGATTGTCATTATTATGGATAAACCGCAGTCGCAAAAATGCATGGGTGTACTGGCCCCTGCCTGCCTCCTAATTGAATTTGGAGTAGGACCCTCCTAATTCAAACATTGAAATTAATTATTTGAGTGCTTATCTTGGACCAGGTTTTTCATGTGATGTCTCACTGGATAGCTCATGTAGCATGCATGCCTAGAAAATGATCAGTAAAGTTTGAAAATCCATTGTTTGAGTTGCCACAACCACAAAGAATGGATATTATATTTGGTACATCTGTACGAAATGCACATCTGCATCATTTACAATGTATTTCAACCCTTTCTTTCTCCGCCTTGATTGATGAAAGTCAGGCAAAACCAAGCTACTGACCCAACACACAGAGCCTCTTGAGAACTTCAGGAAGTTGTAAGAAGCCTGATTTGCATAAAGTCTGTAGGGCAAAGAATTCTTGAATAATAACAACACAAAGATGCCCCCGGGGGAAGGCATGTACTTCGCAATAACAGTGCAGTGCCGACAACCAAGTAGCTGTGATTTAACCTTTGACTTTACCCTCATAGTCCTAAATCCCTCACATTTTTAAACGATTAAGGACAAAAGCCCCTGGAGGTTAGGGTTAAATGTGAAATTGAAATAAAAATATGTGTCTATTTTAGTTTGAATATGGTGCGAAAAGGCTCAGCCGACTTATTTATGCATGTAACTGGTACCCTTTAAAGTGTTGTTCATCAAATGCCACCTGGCCTCTCTTGCGGAACTTTGTTTTTAACCACTCAGCTGCACCACGAATGAATATTTTTGAGAGGTATGAAAACACAATGTTGTACATGTACCTACCTTCCCTGTTTTCAGATGCCATATAAAAAGAAAGCTGAAATTGTTTGTTCGTTGGCCTGAACCATCCTTGAAAAAAAATAAATCAAAGTCATTTTTGATGAACACCTGATGCATGATCAAACTTCTTTTAGAATGGACTGTAATGGCGTAATGGCGTAATTTTTGTAGTGTTTGTATTGTGATATCTGACAGTGTATAAAAAAGCTGGACACAAGATTAATATGTAGCAGTAAGCTTGAAACGTTTACTGGTCATGGTTATAGTTGTTTTTGGATCATTCATAAACCCTTGCTTTGTACACATTAGACGGCTTCTTCTGGAAATGAACGCTAACAAATAATGTAGACTATAAAACATGTTTTTGATTCCATTTCTTTGATTTGACATGTAGTGTTACTATGAACTAAGTTTTAAATCTCTCTAATTTGTTGTTGTGGGTAGATGAATTTATTAAAGTAAACAGTAAGTTTTTCTTATTTTTACAAAAAAAAATTTTCAATGGAGACTGAAGGAGAAAAATGCATTTACTAGTCCCTGAAACTAAAATTGAATTAGTACATGTGTGTTGGACTTCTGTCATTGTGAAGTCAAGTGGAAGCAGACAATGCCAAGTTTAATGTGATTTCAAATTATAGCAGTACGTGCTTGTGGCTTAATACAGGCCAACATAATTAGATTTAGACACAATACATGCCTAAGCCCCTGAAATGGATTTCTGTGTAGTTACATATACAGTATGTGATTTCTGCAAGATCTTTGCTGTCTGTTTTTTGTCTGTATTTTTATATCCTTGTACAGGTATGAACAATTCATAGTAAAAAAATATGGTAGAAAAAAAGTGAATCTGTGTGGTTAATAGTGCTGGTTAGTCTGGCAATGTTTGCTGGCACTTTTCATTTTTTTCCCTTTAAAAGTGAAAGAACATTAACAAAGTCATGTGCAGCAGAAGTGAACGTAACTCTTGAAAATGTCAGCACGTTCTGCGTGGTCTCTTACTTGCGGCATTCCAGAAATTAGGGGTCCATTTTTTTTCATGTCGCTGTCACATCTGACATACATGTATGATTTTGTAAGTTTAGAACACATTTTCTAATTTCCATTAGAAAATTCTGATGATATTTCCAATAACAAAGGTCAGATTAATCAGAGACACAAATATGTCACACTTTTGGACCCCTAATTTCTGGAATTACCCATATTTTCCTACTGAATATCGCAGTTGATGAGGAGTAGAAAGAACATTATTTCCAATCTGTACACTCACTTTTGATGAAGCAACTTAACAATCAATGTCTGTTTTGTATTCGACTCAACACCAGTTTTAAACTTTGTCCATCCACACCTCTTGAGTGAGAAGATCGATCTTGCCATCCGTGATGACCCTGCATCACAAGAAGAACTTCTCAAGCTCTGTCAACAGACATTTGATTACAGTGTCAGGCCAGGTAGGATAGAGATCCCAATATGTCCATTAGACATTTTTTCTCTTTATACGAATTGTATAAAAATACACACATATTTTTGGAGGGATTTAATATATTTCTGTGAAGACCAGAGAGTGGGAGGTCAAACTGTGATTAAAACTGTGTTTATGATGATATTTCTTGTACAAAGTAAATGAAAATCAGAAGCTAAGACTAGATATTCTTGATGTGCACACATGATTGGCTGCGCAGTATTTTGTGTGTGTGGGATCTAGCATATGTATGTACTTTATACTGCTTTCCCACTCCCAGGATATTAGTCAACATTCTAATTTAGGTGTCCAAATGATCCATGAATTGAAAATCACAGGATGCTGCAGTCACATACTTTTTTCCGGGAACATTTGAGCAACCAAAGAGGTCGTCCAAGATTGCTTATTAGATGTCCAACGATATCCAGCCCCCCCCCCCCCCCGCAAAAGCTTGCAAGCAGACAAAGTGCACCCATGTGCATTGTACATTCAGAAAACGCTCATGAACAGGAAGTAAAGCTGTGTTGGTTGTTTGTGTTCCAGCCTTTGTGAGGCCAGAATGTATGTTGCCATAGGTACATGTATGAGCTTCGAGCTGGACCAAGAGTGTGCCGTGATTGTCCTTGTAACAAAGGCTCATTTGGGAATTCCATTTTGCTGGTTCACAAAAGAGTTTGAGATGCAAGTGTTGTATTTGTGTCGCTACCAACAAAACAACTACTCCCCACCGGCATGACACTTTTCAACCAATGGAAAGGGTTGCTTCAGCTTAAGGCAGATACATCACTACCCTAACAACTACCATTTTTATTCATAATTTTATGCATCATATCAATTTTTTGTTGCTGGTTCAGTTCATCAGTACTGTGCCAATGGAAACAGCGACTATGGCAATGTAGGTACGCACCAGCCAGTCCGAGGATCAGGTTGCACAATCTTTTCCTTGATCAGTCCATACACGTGCACTCGTTGCATTTGTTTTCATTGGTGCAGTGTGGTTGCTACCTGCCATTCTGTGGGACTCCAGGATGTCCACACTGCCCCATAAAAAGGAGTAGAGACAAGTAATTGGTGACAGCAAATAATTGATGCAAATTACATTAAATGCCGCCACAGAAGAAAAAAAAAGCTCATAAAAAGACCCATTCTGTGACTAATTAAATTACGCTTGCCATCTGCAAATGGGGAGGGTAGAATTTTTAATGCTTCTTTGAGTGGACTTCCGGAATATATCAAACTCAGTGCAAGACACAAAGACCTGTGATTTTATTAGTGCCATCAGGAGACCCATTAGGAAGTGGCAACATCAGAAAGTCAAGAGGAGATTGGTTGTAGGAAAGACAGCACACTGAGTAGCGTTGGTGTTTTCTTCCTTGAGAGCAGGTGCCAGGGTCCATTACATACACTGGTTGGAACAGTTTTCACCTTGTCATAAGTTGATTTGTGACCAATTGTTTGCATCAATTATCTAAAAAGCATTTTATTGTTCTGTTCAACTCCTTGGTTCCTCCCCTCTCCCGTAATGTTTTTCAGGAAGTCTTTCAGGAAGAGCAAACATAGTTGGTTTTCCTAAAATATGATTTATATGGAATTGTATAAATCTCAGACATAATTTTTTTGTTTCCTCTCTTGATGCGGATTTGTTATATTTAGACGCTTACTACTTCATTTCTTTTGGATAATACTGCTTTGCAAGAACTTAAACTCCACATTCCTTCTTTCAGGAAAACAAACACTCAGGAACATCGGAGGAACTGCTCATCTGGATATTTTGGTCGTTATTCCCCCCTTCCCCCGAGTTCTCTTTGTCATGCAAATGTGACTATGTGTTTGTGTGCAGGTCATCCACGGTTTTTCAACCAACTCTTTGGTGGTCAAGATCTTGTTGGTCTTGCTGGGCAATGGATGACCGATGCTATCAACCCCAGTATGTAAGTAATTTGGAAATAGCAGTTTGTAGCCATGGTTCTCCATCTTTACATCACTTGTCACAAGCATTTTTCACATCTTTGAAATTTTTTTGGCCCATCACCCCCCCCTCAATTTTGCTTTTCCAAGGTTTAGGCCTAAGTTTTGAAGTACCTGTATATGGATGTTTTCCATACCAATGAATTCAGCTGCTCTTTTTGATTTTTGCAAAATGCTGACATCACATGATTTACACACAGCTACACGTTCGAGGTATCACCAGTTTTTACTCTCATGGAATTGGAAGTACTATGCAAGTTGCGACAGCTTTGCGGTTACAAATCCGGTGATGGAATATTTTGTCCAGGTGATGTGACATTGTCTAATTCTTATCTTTCCCAGGCACATTGCTGGTGTACATGTACATCCAAGCAAGCTCCTAGTAATGGTGAACATACATCAGCTAGCAATAATGAAAAGAACAAAGAAAAATTGCAATCAAGTCCTTAAGGAAAGGACTCTCCATGAACTTGTACAAATTTAGATTTTCTTCAGAGTCAAATAGTTACATCAGCCATTCTGCAACATTTTTGGGAAACGGTTATCATGAAGGTCTGTGCATGTGTATCAAGGATAAAGATTAACTCGCCCTAAACCACACGTACATGGCAAAAAACTTGGTGCTATTTTACTGACAGTTAATCTTTATTCCATTTGTTGTACCTGTAGGTGGATCAATCGCCAACATGTATGCCTTGAATATTGCTCGGTACAAACGCTGTCCAGAAATCAAGCAAAAGGGACTGTACAACTCTCCAAGGCTGGTAGCCTTTACATCTGAACAGGTCAGAATAACCACCGAAAGACTTATCTCCTAGCCTCGCTCAAAGTCAAAAAACAGTTAGTTATTTTTGAGATGACAATAATTATAACCGCCCATAGGGTGACCTAAGAAATACAACCAAAAGTGACATCTGATTTTTGCTAAAATAAAGGTCAGAATTTGTTGCTTTTGGTTTCAAATTGAAGCTTTATGACCGTCTTTGTTTTGTTCTCACCAGAGTCACTACTCACTCAAAAAGGGCATGGCATTCCTAGGTCTTGGAGTTGACAACCTCGTCTCGGTCAAGTGTGATCAAATGTGAGAATAATCTTCTTCTGCCTTTTCCATTCTCGTTTTCACAGACCCATGTGAAAGAAGTGTCTATGGTTGATTAAGAAATTGTTAAAACCAAGGAGCTAATTTTCATTTAAAGGGAATGACCAGTTGCTCTTCAGATTTGAGAAATATTCCAAATTTAATCATTGGATGCTCAAGTACACTAAGTGACCTGACAAAACCAGACATTATGTTTGTTTTGCTTCCAACCTTTGATGGTAAAGATGTTGTCATCTACAGTTATTGTCATGATTTATTTATTGGATAGGGGCCGGATGATACCTGAAGAACTGGAGAAAGAAATCTTAGAAGCCAAGAATAAGGTGTGTGTTAACTTGCTGCCCATGTAACCTTGCAGTTAGTACTCTAAGCACTCTAACACTGGTTCCCAGTTTTAAATTGCAAGAACTTTAATGGATTGGCTGGTAGCCAATATTTAGCGGTGAACCCAGGATGTATGATACATGCCCGAGCTGAGCATTGTGTAAACATTGGAAATGAACGAAACCACCAAAATACTTACTGAAGATTGTAGTGGCATGTTGACAGCATCTTTTCACCTTTTTTTTCAGGGAGGAGATCCCTACTTCGTCTGTGCGACATCAGGCACGACTGTGTTGGGAGCCTATGATCCACTCGTCCCCATCGCTGATATTTGTGAGAGGCATGGCCTGTGGCTTCATATTGATGTAAGTTTGTCACGTCCTCCACCCTTCCACTGCTTGCAAGAGTGACATACATGCACATTGCCCAAGGTCAGCAAATAAAATAAGAAACCAATGCTCAACCCTTCAAACAACTTGAGAATGTTTGTTGGTATCTAAGACAAAAATGCCAAATTGGAGCTCAACACTTCATGTCACTTGTGCTGATTCTGGTTTCTCATTTATCGTAATGGCCTATAATCTTTCTTTTTACTTTTTTTTTTTGTTCTTGTTGTCATCTTGACTAGGCTGCTTGGGGTGGGGGTGCCCTAGCATCCTCCAAATACAGCCACTTAATGCAAGGAGTGGAGAGAAGTAACTCATTGACTTGGTGCCAACACAAGATGATGGGGGTTCCTCTGCAGTGTTCTGCTTTCTTGCTTCGTGAGGAGGTGAGGGCTTTTTGTGTAAGGAGCTGTGGAAGTCCTAGAGTTGACTGTGATTCAAGTTTTTTCCTATGTTATCGTACCTTACAGGATTCCATGGGTTGGGTTTCTTCATAAAAGTTGTCAAAAAGAGTTGTGCACACAATACTTAAAATAAAGCACTGCATTATTGACAATCAAACCCATTAAATCATTACAATTTCTGACAGAGAATGCCTTCATTTTAGTCTTATGCTCATTTTAGTCTTGTGTAGAAACATTCATACTAAAAAATTTGAATTTGCCCATTCAACAAATTTGCAATTAAAAGAAAAGCTTCATCCTGTAACTCTGTTTGACATGCTTTTTCTAGTGTGCTAAAAATGATGCAAGGCCATATGTAAGTATTAAACCAGGACTTTGTCAGCTTGACTGAGAGTGTCGTGTGTATTTGTCCTAGTGGAACTACATTGTAGTTCAGTGTTATTATAATACAGGAAATACAAAGGCACAGAGGGGGTCTTGGTCCTGGGTTTTTCATTGTATTCTTGTATTGGATACCAGTGAACCCTTATAAGAAATGTGAACACAGTTAAATGCATCAGTTCTACTGAATAGAAGCCCCATAGGTTACACCAAACGTGATATGATGAATGCTTGTTGTGAAACATAGATCTGTTCAATGAATGAGAAGCAGACATGTGCTTTCACACATAGAGCTATGAGAACAGATACGAGGAAAAAGCTGAAAGATTTGCTGGACGTGACAGAAATAAAAATTGCATGAAGCACCTGTTCACAACCATATTTCAGGATTTTTTCCTGCTTTGAGAAAGATCCTGCTAGGATTAAACGATCAGCCTGTTGGAGAGATTTGTCATTTGCATTCTGGTTAAAAAAACAATCAAACTTTGATTCCTCATGCCCCAAACTCACTAATCAATATTTTCAGTGCCACATTTACTGCTGATAAGTCTTGAAGGTTTGCATGGTGAAGAGGTATAATAGAAAGATTTGTGGTAGCACCATGGACGTATCTCTTTTGTGAGTATTTGTGGTTCTGAAAAGTACCACTGGTTCTTTTCAAAACTGCAAATACTTACAAAAGAGATACGTCCATGGTGCTACCGCAAACCTGCTTTCTATTACATTTACTGCTGGTTGGCATGTGTCCCTTCCTCACCCCAACTCCACCCCTGTTATATCACAGTTATATCCTTTAGATAACCAGATGTTTTATTTAGTAACCTTTGTGTTTATATTTTTATCATTTTTTTTACCCTATTGTCGGTCTCCCACACGATTTGTATATACATGTAACTTAGGCTTTTTACAGCTTCGTTTGAGTTCAGTTCATTTGTTTAAAGTTTAATAATAAACATTTCTTCCTAATGGTGTAACAATCAATTCCTTTCTGTTTTGTATTTCCTCGTTGATGATAGCAAAGTCAGTTTGTCTCAGAATGTTGAGACATCTTGCATTGATTTCAAAGAGAGATACTATTTTTTAACAAAATAGCAACATACATGCCATGCAATGGAAACCACTTTTGATTGTATGCCAGCTTTCTTTGTGATCAGAAAATTGTTTTTCCAAACATTTTACATATAAGGTACCATCAAAAGCTCCACCAGACATGGCCGAGGTTTATAACAACAGTGTATTTACAGTGACTCCGTGAGAATCCAATTTGGAAGATTTGTTCCCCTATTTTGGATAAGTAACTTAACTCTGAGGATTTCCACTTGATTTTAGGAGGCATTGAAGATACCAATATATACGCTCAGTAGAATAATTTGTGGAAGTACTTCTCCAAATGTGGCCAGAATTTCACAGCTGAATTTCAGATAGAAGAAACGAAGCAGTCCCGAGGACATTATTGTACAGCTAGGTTTTAGTCACAAGCTTCAAGTCCTCGCCAGTTAATTGACAGAATTTCTTCTCTCAGAATGGCCTGATGCACCACAGCCACTGTGCTGCAGCCAGCTACCTCTTCCAAAAAGACAAATTCTACGACATGTCCTACGACACGGGGGACAAGTCCATTCAATGCAGTCGCAAAGCGGATGCTCTCAAGCTATGGTTGATGTGGAAGGCTAAGGGCAATAGAGGTTTTGACGAGGAAATTACCCGCAAGTTTGACAACTCAAGGTTTGTTGAAAAAAAAAGCACGCTTAGTCCCACTTAATCAAGCACTGTTCTTCTCATTAAAAGAAATCTGGGTCATGCTGTAAAGTTGGAGTCCAAAGTGTGAGATGTTTCTGTCCCCTTACACTTGACCTGCGGTATTTGACAAGGAAGATACTGAAACTGAATTCAAACTATTTGTTTGACAGGTTATTTGTACTCCTTACTTGCTCTGGGAAATGAAAGAATGTGTTCTAAACTTACAAAATCATAAACCAAATGTAATTGGGACAAGACGAAATGGACCCCTAAATTTAAAGAATGATCTGCCGTAGTCTGAAGAAAGTCATAAATATGTAGTAGCCTGCACCTGCTCTGCAGTATTTCAGCAGTCCTACTCTTTGACATATACAAAAAAGCTGGTTGGTGGACAAATGCCAAAGTTCACTTGTCCAAATTTATGGGCATAATACGAGGCAGGATTTTGTCATCACATGATGTACTGTGAACTGATTTTTAGCTTTGTCTAACTAATGGTTCTGTGATCAACACAGATACATGGCCGACCTGATCCGAAACCGAGAAAACTTCAAGCTGCTGCTGGAGGTGAGTTGAGCTGAAATAATTATTGGATATATATTCAGGTCAAAAACATTTCTCTTTCAAAAGGTTAATGGTGAATATCAACTGGGTAAAGTTACAAAATGATCTATGGAAGTTGCACAGTGCTTAGTGACTTAACTCATTCAATCCAACCCATTTCTCCACAAGCCTCAATGCACCAATGTCACCTTCTGGTACATACCACCCAGCCTCAAGGCTATGCCTGATGGACCAGAATTCCAGAGAAAACTTCACAAGGTAAATTAATCTTAGCCTGAGTCCTGTCCGAGTTTTGTGTTTTTGCTAGAATACACTCGATAAGATAAATATAAAAGTGAAAGTGTTGCATGGTTGACACTCTTATGACAGGCTTGAAAAATTTATGTTAAATCATTTGTATATCATTGTACATGTATATCCATCTTGGTGCGACTTTTGCAGGTGGCACCCATCATCAAGGAACGCATGATGAAGAATGGGACCATGATGATCGGTTACCAGCCGCTAGGGGATCACCCTAATTTCATCCGCATGGTGTACTGTAACCATGCCACCACAACCCAAGACGTAGAGTGGATCGTTGAGGAGATCGAACGATTAGGTCATGACATTGTCATTCCGGATGAAATCTGAGGCCGTTGGCTGACATTTGGTCTTGATCGAAACAATTACATGACCATGTCAGTGAAGTCATGCACGACCCACTACACACCTGTTGGATACCGTGTGCCTTATCCAGATGACACATCATGGGTAAATGCATGCTTGTCGAGCGTTTTGTTGCATAACCATCGCTGTGATTGGTCAAAACATCGTGGGGAAGGGTCTCATTGATGAGTCTGTCCCATGAGGAAAAAAATGCACATCTCAGATTCTAGTCTAAGCCTAATCTATAGTTACAATTATTTGCCAAGTAAGCTTCATTTCAGAATTGTGCACAGCTGACAAATTCATTTCATTTTTAATATCTTTCTGAACTGATTTTTTTCTGTATTCAACACTGTCAAAGTGGTAATTTGAAAGTTTAACATGAAATGCTGAAGCTGTAAGAAACCCGTTTTTAATAGTAGATTTTTGCATGGACAGCACGTATGGTATTTAGTGCATATTGCTGGTTTTATCTTAATTTCCTTTCCCTGGAGTAATGTTACATCCTCCATTTGATACTAAGAAATTATGCACTCATTTACGATCCTTACCTTCCATCCTGCAAAGAAACACACTCTCTTTATTTAGTAAAAATGGATATAATTTACTACAAAATCAACCTGGGCTGAACCAAAAACGAACCTTTGAACAACTTATTAAAGGACTTGGGCTTTTTTTTTACTTTTTTGCCAAGAATTCTTCATATTTCATTAAAATACAATAGTTGCATACTTTCGTCCTTTTGCCGGGAAAAGTTTTTTCTGCAGTGATCATGCTTCCCGGCAAAAGGGCCTAAGCGCTTATGCCCTTCTGCCGGGCACACAACAAACTATTGTGAGGGAATTGTCATGAGCTAACCTGAGATTTAGAGCAGAACAACTTGTTGCCATTTCTTTTTAAAAGCAGATTTTTATCCTTTATGTTTTCAACTGAAGAAACAAACAAACTATTTGTAAAGGGTAAAAACTGAAAAAATTGTATCTCAACATTTTTTAAATATGAAAATATCGAGGCTGAAGAGGTGGATGGGATGAGTTTTTGTAATGACCTTGTTTGAGTAGCAGCTGTTCTTTTGAATCCTCACAGGTGTTTCTGTATACATTCTTTTTCCCATCAAGAATATTTTTACAGAGCCACCATTATAATGTATAAAATCAACCCTTCTGCTTAATGTTTGCCGTGCTGTCTAACAACAAATGACCATGGCTTGCACAGGAACTTAAAACGTAAAACACACTAGAGATAACTTCAAAAGGGACAAACCACGGTATTTACTACCCTGATTTATCGATGCTAGAGGTACTTTGAAGTCTTTTTGTAGGGTGTGACATGCAGGAGTTTTTGGGGTGCAAAGAATGTGTATTTATTGTAGCAGAAAATGATAATGTACCATCCATATTGGGTGATTGAATTTTATCGTTTTCTCTTTTTTCTTTTCTTTTTAAAGTTATGTTGTGATACAAGCATGGAAGAAAGCTGCCAAAAAACAATGAAATATATTCAAAATAAATTGATATATTTTAAAGGAAAATATTTCGGTGTATAATTTTCAGTAGAAAGATTTTAGTTAATTACGTAATACGCAGAAAATCTTGTAGGAAATGATGTTTCAGTATTTTAATGTGAAATTACATATACTTTAAGCTGAAGATTTACATGGCTCATATTTTGGGAGCGGAATTTGTCGGATAAATAAAAAAAGTATGCTGCCTTGCAGACTTTTAGTACATGCTACACAAAATACCTAAATGGGTTTAATTCTGAAAAAAGGCCTTTGTATTTGTGAAATATGGTGGATATTTGTTTTTTTTTCATAAATCAAAGTGATATAATGTCTGCTGACATGTCAGGAAAAGAAAACATAAAATACGAGAGTTCTACTCAAGTTAAAATATCTTAAGCAAAGTAAATCTGACCAAATAAAATTCAGTCTGCATGAAAAGGACATGGAAAAGAAGTGGCCGTGTCATTTAATTGTAATAGTCTGGAATCCAGATCACCTGTAGCAAATGGTAAACATTTCTGATGTCAAATGCATCAAGAGACTCTTTTGTTTGCTGGACAAGCGTAGGAAGTTCTGGGAACTTGTTTGAACTTGTTTGAACTTGTTTGAACTTGTTTGAATCTTGGCATCCAGTGTTGAAAATTTCCAGAGATGTTGGGACAAGTCATGTCATGAATATCGCAGCCACTGAGAATCTAGTATTCCTGACTGTTCACTGCAGCTCATATGTGTTGACATGTCTGTGTATTGAGTGAAGAGAAACGAATTTGTAGAATCAAGTGACACAAATGGACAAAATCTCTTGTTCGTGTACATGTACTTGTTAATGAACATAATGTGCAAACTCCAGATAACCTGTGTAAGTAAATAATCTGTGGCATAATACCCAAGTGAGATTCTCTCCAAACAATATTTTAGTTTCACGCATACAGACAAGCCAGATTGTGGTTACAATCACTGGACGTTTCATTTAAACAAATCATGTACGACTATTAATATTAAAAAGGATGCACAAGTGCAACATTTTGAAACTAATGTTTCTTGTCTGATTTGTTTGTCACAAAATTTGCACATCCCAGTAAAATATGTCAGTTAAATATCATCCCATCCCAACTTTTACATGTAAATATTTTATTCCCATATTTTGCATTGCAGAATTTTAATAAACAGGATAAAAATGAATATGTGAATAATTAACAACAAATTACTGGCCTATTTAAAGTCCTGAACTCATTCTAGAGATCAGAGAGGACGATAAAAGTGACACTCTCATAGATTAAATAAGCTATCAGCCACATCAAACTGTGTCTAAAAATTACCCAAATTCTTCAAGGATGACCCTATGTCAAATTTACAGAATTAGTTTGTTTACGAGCAAAGGAACATGATCATCCAATAAAAGACATGTACAAAACTGTTCTTAGATTGTAGCATTAACTTTGATAAATGCCATGTTGCAGACAAAATGTTTTGTTGTAAGGAGCTCGTCACATATTCCAAAGCCCAATTTCCATGATATTGTCATTACACCTACATGAAGCATTCAGAGTAAAATAATTCCTGGCATAAAGCCCGTAATACCAATTACATGTACACCTGTGGAACGGCACGGTGTCACACACTGCTGGGGAAGAGGGTATGTGAATGAAACTTACAATGAGGTCATTTGGTATTTTAAAAATACAAGGTCGTTCAGGAACAAAGCTCACATGTTAGTCTGCGTGAGGCCGGGCAGACTTTGCACGCATTTCAGAATGACACCTGGAAACCAAACTGGATCAGTACCAGCGAAGATGGGTGTGGTCTGTCTTATTTCTTCATGGCTGGCATTGGCAATGTTCCCATGTATTTGCTGATTATTGAAAGCATGACCTCATCTGCTCCTCCGCCAATTGATATTAGTCTGTAGAAGGAAGTAAACAGGTGTCATTGAATCTGACAAAGAAATACTTCGGGACCAAGTGCATGAATTCTTCGGCACAGGGGCTGAAATACACAAAACTGCAGAGGATCAAGGCAAGGCGCTTGTTTCGTATGTAATATTTAGCCATTGAGGCAACATCTCAAATCAACAGACCAACCGTAGAATCCATATTCTAGACCAAGTCCTTTATGACTCTTAAGCAACAAATTTCATATCTCTCAGCAGAATATCTTTTAATGGGATATTCACATATACATAAACGTCCTTGCACAAATTATCAGATTTTTGGCAAATCAAAGACCAATCAGCATCATTCCAGTTCTTAAATAAGAGGAAGGAGGGGCCTTTCATTGAATGAAGGTAATTTCACACCAGTTTTTAAAATTATGGCCTGAACTTACAGTCAATTTGTCCAACCTAACCATCCCTCTTTCTTTCCCACTTTCATACCTGAAATCTCGGTAGAATCGGCTGACCAGGACTTCACTGGTGAAGCCCATCCCACCCCAAAATTGCAGGCAAGAATCACTGACTTCTCGGCACAGTCGACCCGTCTTGAGCTTACCCATGGAGGCTAGCTTGGTCACATCTACACCATGGATGTACAGACCTGACGGAAGAGGTTACAGAAAATAAAAATGGTAGTCAAATATTCAGAGTTGGGCTGACACTTTCATGGAAGAAGAAAGGCTTGGAAACATTGTCCCTTGTGTTCCTTAAGATGCTTTATCACCAGTGTTATAGCCAGCCATATTTTAGTGCAGGACAATTTAGTAATGGCGACCGGAGTCTTGCGAGTCATGGCCATGGGTCCCATTAACCACTGGGGACCGCCAGGGACTCCGGTTTCGGGCACCGTGTGTTTACACGTGTGGCCGGGTCTCCAAAATCAGACAAGGGGAACTGGGCCTTGTAACAAAAGACCGTACTCATAACAAAAAACCAGGCTGCTGGGCATTACCGACATTTTTTACCCTCAATAGTGGAGTTAATCCAGCCTTGTTTTGAAACAGTATACCACGGTTTGGGACATTTAGTGCGAGTGGATTACCACCGGGGACAAAAGCGCTCTACCACCGCAGCGATGAGCCACACAGCACCTACTGAAGAAGTCAGTAGCAGGTTAGTGAAAAAAAGAACGTTACATAACACCTCACAATCTGGGCTCTTTTTACAAGGCAGCAGGCCTGGCTGAAATACTCGGGCATCAATAGATTTTGTCTGTCAGACAAGAGTGGCCACCAGACAGTAATTCGTGTGGGTGTAAACATCCATTAATTGAAATTATGAATTTTTATAGAATTTTGAAATCTGAAAATCTTGAAAAAGTCCGGATTACGTGCATTGCATTTTTCAAACCACCCGCCAGCAAGTGGTTAAGGGGACTCTAGATTGCTTTTTCAGTGAGTTTTCTCTCCAAATTGATTAAAAGTACAAATTTTTAAATTTTCTTCAGGTAAAAATATAAAATTTTCATAGTGACTAATGTTTAGCTGGACTAATATTTTGTTGAGATTCTTAAGGGTTGTTGTGCTGGTCGGTGGGCTGTTTCATCAAGCTTAGTGCCGGACGGTAGAAGGCTGTGGTGGAGATCCCTGACTGGTATCGACCAGTGTAGCTATAACACTGTTGGCCATGCTTACCTACAACAGGGATTTATTGAATGTGCTGCATATTTTGCTTTGAGCAAATTAAAGGAAGGCATATTAGTTGTATATCAGTTTTGTTGGTCACTGATGACTTAGTCAGCTTTTCACAATCAAAGACAATGAAACTAGACTTGTCAGAAGTCCTTCCTTCACCCTCACCCACCTATGGTTCTGTACAACAGAGATCTCAGTAACTCTACTTCGGTCTGCAACTCGGCGAGACGATAGTGCACTACTTGGTTGTCCAGGATAGACTTGCCAAAGGCTTTCCTCTGCTTGGTGTAAGCGATGGTTTCATTGATCATTATTTCCAGAGGCACAAGGGCTGAGATGGAATCAACAAAATGAGATAAGAACAAAAATTACTGCACGTTGACACCCCTCAGTGGGCCTTTTAGTCATAGGAAAGCTTTTTCCTCCAGGGAATCTTATCAAATACTCTTGAACGAAGAAAAAGTTGCATGAACATAACAGGGTGGTCCCCTGAGACATATGAACAGTCAGTGTTAAAAAACACTGTACTTTGTGCTGTGAAATAACAGCAGAGACCAAGTGCAACTGGGGTCAACCCAGAGTTGTAATCGAGTCAGTCACAAGTTACTGCAAGTCACCACAAGTCAGTCACAATTCATTCGGCCACAAGTCGACTCAAAAGTTATTTAAATGAACTTTGACAAAGGCATTCCTTTATTATTGTTCATCTCTCTAGTTCTACACTGACTTGTGAAATAACTTGGGAAATGACCCAAGCTCTGGGATCTTCCAAGATAACCACTTTCAGATTCTCCCACCTGCTGCTACCGCCCACATTCTTTCCTCTTGAAACTGCAGCATCTGATAGGTAAATCCCATTCCCTCCTGTCCAATAAGATTCTTCTGAGGCACTCGGACGTCCTCAAAGAACAGCTGAGCCGTGTCTGAGGACCACATGCCAATTTTGTCAATTTTCTGGGCCCTCACCACCCCTGAATGGGAAAAAAGAATTTTGGTATTCACCACACAAATTTTGAGTCTCAAACTTGCTACTTACTATCAATATTTGACACAAATATCTGGTAATCCAAAATTGATAGCTTCTTTCAAACTTGTAATCCTCTAAAAATGGTGAGTCAACAACTGAGTCTAACTTCTTGAGATAGTGAAGCAGACATATTTTTGAACAAATCCTCAAGATTAAATCCTCTAGTATCTGGAGGTAATCTTACATACCTTTAGCATCCATAGGCACACATATCAGTGATTTGTTCTGGTGTGCAGGACCATCACCTGTGTTCGCCAAGAGGCAGATCCAATCGGCCTTTATGCCATTGGTAATCCACATCTTGCCACCATTGATGACATAATCCCCACCTTGTTTCTCTGCCCTCGTCTGAATACCTAGTGTTGAGATGAACCATAAAAGTTTAGAGTCAAGACCATCTGTGGGCGGCATCCTTGCCTCTGATGTCTGTGACCCCTTGGAAAGTTTTGGAAGACCCAATTAATTTGGAATAGATAATGCCTCATGGGGACACATGGCCAAGTGTTTAGGGTCTGTGGCTTCCAATCATAGAGTTGGAGGTTCGAATCCAGCTGCTGGAAAGCTGTTGGGGCCCTTGGAAAACCACTTCACCCCTGCTTGCCTCTTTCCACCCAGGGGTATAAATGGGGACCAGCATTAGCTGGGAAGCAACCTGCGAGGGACTGACATCCTATCCAGGGTAAATAGAAATATTCTCATTCGTTTCACGCCAAGGAAACCAGAGATAAACACCAGCCTGATGAGCCAAATTGGCTCAGACCAGACTTGCTTTGAATGCCTTCTGGACTTACTTGCTACGTCTGACCCGGACCCGACTTCGCTGACACCTAGACAGGCAACGACATCACCAGCAATGGTTGGTGCAAGAAATTGCCTCCTCAGTTCATCACTGCCAAATCTTTGTCAAGTACAAATGAAGTAGAAGTGAACCATATATGGTTGATAATAGGAAGTCAGAGTTAACATGGAAGCAGGAGTAAACTTAAACATTCCAAAAACTGTGGACAAAAATGACTGACCTTGCCAAAGCAGGTGTAGCCATGTCAGACTGGACACCTATTGCCATGGGAATAGCTCCACATTTGATGTTTCCCAGCTCTTCTGCCATGGCAATACTGTAGCTGAAATCAAGACCTGATCCACCATACTCTGTAGGACAAACCGGAAAAACAGGTGTCTTGATTTTTTCCCTCAAGTTTCAACAATAAATGGTAAAAAAAGGGAATGAAGGGAAGACAACGACAAAAATTTGATGGAAAGAAAAACCGCAAGATGTAATTTTACACGAGAGGACTGAGATTATTTGAGGACTAACAGGGAGATGCCAAGTCTCTTATCTGTCTGTTGTATGATGTATTACTGAGAGTACCAAACGGCCTGCTGAAGAGACAAGCTGAAAGTAAGCTTGAGCGGTTACAATGATTAAAAGCTACAAATCACTTCAGTGCGAAATATGGAAGTTAACTTTTCACATCACATGTAAAATGCTACTGACAAAGACTTCGTGACATGAGTAGACATCTGCATGACAGCCCATGACAGTCCATTTATTCTGCACCAACCCAAATCACTCGCTGTCGATACCTGTGGGTTTGTTGAGTCCCAAGAACCCAGCCTCGCCGAGTTTCTTGAAGACTTCATGAGATGGGAACTGCCTCTCTGCTTCCCACTGATCCACATAAGGATTAATCTCCTTTTCAATCAGCTAGAAGGGAACAGGCAAAATAATACACAGTTTCCAGCACAAGGTTACTGATCAAAACAGACAGAATAAGTGTGTTAATTTTGAAAGTAAATAGGGTTAAGTTTAAAACGTAAAGATAAAATTTATTTTATTTGTTGATAAACATGAATTGTGATGGTCAGTGATCACTCCATATGGATTTTTTCCACATTTTTTCAACCATATCAACCTTGTTATTTTGATTGTGAAAATAATTTTGCTACTTCTTAGGATAATGTTACCCCTGGCCATGCTGGCCCACGTGCCCTTGCATAATCAGCATGCATTACGTCTTGAAAAGGAGGGACTCCTCTAACACTGTGACCGTATAGGTGGTTGTCAGGTCCCTATTTTGCCACTGAGCCTCAACTTGAAGATTTAGGCTACTACTGTGAAAAGCAATCTGACTTGAAAGTAATATTTAGGGACCTGGCGACTATACGGTCAAAAAACATGGTCAGGAGCATTAGCATGATTAGTTCTATTATCTAATTCTAGGGGTATCAGTTACAGTGATACTAAGTAAGTTACACATTAGAGTTGTAACGTTAGGCATGTTTTGTTAGGTAGGCCTAGGCCTAATATTATGACCGAGTACTTAATATTGTCACCTTCCCCAATGACCTCCTCATTTCAACATGCTGATCAGTAAAGATAGACTCATGACGGGTGTCATCAGACCTGTCTCCCGCAAGTTCAGACTGGGAGGAGGACTTCCGTATCCCAATCTGCAGCGATCGGGCGTCCAATCTCAAAGAACAAGCACATCTGAAAGTGAAACTGCTCCTAAACAGAAACGTCGCCATCATTACGCTTGTTGTTCATACAAAAAAGATACGGCTACGGCCGGGAGTGCAGCAGGTTTCAGGCTAACAAAGCAAAGCCGTCGCTTCAAAAAGCAAAAGACATTGGTCTTAAAGGGATCAGGTCAACTCGGACCCAAACCAACTCGGACCCATTCCAACTCGGACCCATGCGAACTCGGACCCAGTACCAACTCGGACCAACGCCAACTCGGACCCACAACCAACTCGGACCCACGTCAATTCGGACCCACGCTATTTCGGACTCACCTCGAGTCAACTCGGACCCACTGAGTCTTATGGTTGCGTTGCACCAAATACGCGTCCGTTGGCCGAAATAGCGCCGACCCTTAAACCTCGTGAAGAGGTTGGCCTTCATTTTTTTCGCTGGAAATTCAAGATAATTTTTTCCGCTTGAAATTCAAGATTATGGCCAGATTGATCACTTTTTGTTTCAATTTAATGAACTTTTTTATTCACCTTCTCCCGAGGATACCCCCCCTATCCAAAATAGGCCCGTATTGTGGGGCTTTTTTGTGAAAGAAATACTCTAAACCGGAAACTATCAATCCCAAATTCGGGATTTATATAAATAAATCTATGATCCCTCGTGATTATGGCACGTTTTATTGTAGAAAATAAGAAACTGTGGGATCACAAAATATTAATAATGTATGGAATTCCGTATCTGCCGTCGTGCGTCGCCCGTCGTGCGTCGCCCGTCGTGCGTCGCCCGTCGTGCGTCGCCCGTCGTGCGTCGCCCGTCGTGCGTCGCCCGTGTTTTTTTTTGGTCAAGATTGCGGAATACCACTGCGCAATCGGGACCAAAAAAAAAAAAAAAA